GTAAGTGTCAAGTGTTTGGTCTGAGGCCAGATTTGAACTCAGGTCCTCCTGACTTCAAGGCCAGTGCTCTATCCACTGCACCACCTAGCTGCCCCTTCATCATTTCTTATAGCACAATAGTATTCCATTACATTCATATACCACAACTTGTTCAGCCATTCCCCAGTTGATGGGCATCCCCTCAATGTCCAATTCTTTGCCACCACGAAAAGAGCTGCTATGAATATTTTTGTACATGTAGGTCCTTTCCCCTTTTTTATGATCTCTTTGGAATACAGCCCTAGAAGTGCTATTGCTGGGTCAAAGGGCATGTACAGTTTTATAGCCCTTTGGGCATAATTCCAAATTGCTCTCCAGAATGGCTAGATCATCAACAGACATTTCTTAATCACCTACTATGTTCTAAGCACAAGGACCAAAGTGAAACAGTCTCTGTCTTCAAAGAGCTTACAGTCTAAGGAGGGGATGACTTGTACACACAGAAGCAGACCCAGAGTATAGAGGAAATGAATCTAAGGTAGTTTTTGTAGGGAGGCCATAAGGGGATCAGGAAATGTAGAAGGAAATGTAGAGCTGAGACTCAAGGTAACCGTGGATTCTGGGAGATGGAAGTGAGGAGGGAGGGAATTCCAAGTCTAGGGGACCACCAGGGCAAAGGCTTGGGGATGGGAGGTGGAGTACAATGGCTGCTCCCTGGGCTTTAGAATCCTGGTGTCTTAAGAGTTGGGGTGACCACATGACTCATAGGGAAATATATTTTGTGTGATTGCACATGTATAACCTATATCAAATTGCTTGTCGTCTCAGGGAGGGAAGGGAGGAGGGACAGAATTTGGAACTCAAAACTTTAAAAAACAAACATTAAAATTGTTCTTATATATAATTGAGGAAAATGTTATTCAAAGAAAAAAGTTGGAGTGACCAATCAGTGGAACAGGCTGATTTGAGTCCAAGGCTGGGGAGACAGGGAGGGAGAGAGGTAACCAGCATTAACATATTTAGCTCTGAATATGTGGCAGTCAACACTGGGAATATAAATACCAGCAAAAAGAAAGACAGTCTTGTTAGCTTATGTGCTAATGGCGGAAGACAAGCCACAAAAGGGATTTGGAAAGATGAGGTGGGTGGTGGAGAGAGCTCCCCAGATCCTGGGGTATACTAGTGTTTAACAACAGTCTCTCCAGGGGAGAAAACATACTCTCGACACACCTTTAAATTTAATCTGTTTTATTTCTTAAGGCTAGAAATCAACGGAACAATAAATTGAGCCCAATTGGCTCGAGCCAGCAGGTGTGGAGAGCCAGCCTTAGATTCAAGATGTCTTGGGCTCAAGTCCTCCAGACACAAAGTGTATGACCTTAAGAAAGTAACAACCTCCCAGGTGCTCCAGGTATCTCTGGAGGTCTAGAAATGAAATCATAGTTCAGGGCCAAAAATACATTTTTTTTTAATGAGCTAAGAGTTAGAAAAAAATGGCAAACCACTCCAATATCTTTGCCAAGGTAACCCCAAATGGAGTCATAGACAGTGGGACATGACTGAAAAAAATGACTCAAAGAGGCTGGAACAGAAATCAATCAATGCCCACTTATTAAGTGCCTACTGTTTGGGCATACAAAGGAAAAAGATCCAAGCCCCTCCCCCTCCTGGAGTTTAGATTGTACTGAGCTTGCTCTGGGAGCCTGCAGGGGCCAGGAGTGAAGATGGAACAGAGAGTTGGGATGAAGCCAGAGACCCTACGGAGGAGGATGGGGAAAAACCTTATCAGGGCGCTTTAGAACAGATACCAGAGTGGAAAGTAAACTTGGAGTATTTGTATCCTGTACATATGAATATCATCCCTGGATATGGTGCACCTGGGGGTCATTCCTGCTCAGGAACTTTCCAGGGTAGCTCCCGAGAGGCTCACAAGCTTAGAAATCTACTTAGAATGAATACCTCTTTGAGCTTGAGGAATTTCCTTCCTTTGCTTAATTGTAAACTCTTAGAAAGCACTATGTATATCCTGGTTATCTTCTTTCTCCTAGGAGATACAGGTTTTTTTTTTTAATTTTTGTTTTTTAAAAGGGTAACAGCTGTAAAAACTGCAAAGACCTTTTTACACATTCTGATTGGATCTTCACAACAATCCCATCAGGTGTATCAATTGTTATCCCCATTTTTAAAGACGAGGAAACGGTCCCAGGAAACCTTTCCTGGTACTCCCCAGCTATTAATGCCTTCCCTTCAGGTTGCCTTACATTTCCTAAGTTTTTTACGAGTTGACTCCCCCTTTAAAATGTGAGTGCCTCAATTTGAATACTAGAGGTCATACTACAAAAAAAATTGGAAGAGAAGCAAGTCATATTGCTTTCACAGTTATAGGTAGAAGTATTCTTAAGCTATAGAGGCAATTACAAGAGATAAAATATAGTTAATTTTGATTATGTGAAATTGAAAAGCTTCTGCACAACCAAAATCAGTGCATCCAGGATAAGAAGGAAGTCCATTGAATGGGGAAAAAACCCTTCATATCATATTTTTAATATAAGAATTCAATATCCGAAAGACAGAACTAACAGAAGACCAAAATAAAGACCAAAAAAAACCAGAAGACCAAAATCCGTTCTCCAATAGATGTGGTGAAAAGATAAGGACAAACAGTTCTCAGAAGAATTACAAACTATTAGGTACCCTATAAAATTATGCTCCAAATCATTAAAACAGATTGACTAAAAAACCAAAAGAGGGGCAGCTAGATGGTGCAGTGGGTAGAGCTTCAGCCTTGGAGTCGGAAGGATCTGAGTTCAAATCTGCCCTCACACTTGACATTTACTAGCTGTGTGGCCCTGGGCAACTCATTTAACCCCGATCGCCTCACCAGAAAGCAAACAAACAAATAAATAAATAAATCAAAAGAACCCTTGTCATTTCCCATCCTGCTGTTTTCCTGGATCTCACAATTTCCAGCACCTCATTGTCTTGCCAGATCAATCAATTATGTAAGTGATACCTCTTTGGATCATTTCTTACCCCGGCTGTAGGACTTCTTCATTCCTTCCACCCCTAAAGTTGGGTATGGTCCTCCCCACAACCTCACCCCCTGAACTTTTTTAGCTGTCTTCTCCCGTTAGATTATAAATTCCTTGAAGGTAGGGACTGTCATGTCATTTTTTGTACCCATAGCAATTAAGACAGGGTCTAGCACATAGCAGGTCTTTAATGTCCAGACTCTGTAACCTTGAAGTTTCACCTTCCACACAGCAAAATGGGAAATGACAAAATCAATGGTGAAAGGGTCGTGAAAAGATATGCACACTAATGCATTGTTGGTGGAGCTGTGAATAGTAGTATAACCATTTTGGAAAGCATTTTCGAATTAGGAAATAAATTGCCCAAAATGTCCAAACCCTTTGACTCAGAGGTTCCACTATTAGGTATATTATATGCCAGGGATAATTGATAAAAAGAATGTTCCCACAGACACCAAAATATTTATAGCAGCATTTTTGGTGATAGCAAAGAACTGGAAACAAAGTTCATTCCCACGGTCTGGGGAATGGCTGAACAAATTGTGGTCCATTTATATGATGGAATATTATTGTGCAGCAAGAAATTTAAAAAATATGATGAATACCAGGAATTATGAAGACCTAAATGAAATGAAGCAAGTGGAGGTGCCACAAAACAAGAGCAAACTTATGTCCCCAAATCACAAAGAACGAGCATATAACCTCAAAGAAGAGTTATGATGAAGACACCTTGCCCGTTCCTTGACAGAAGTGAGGATAGGTGTGTCTCTCTGACGTGGAATGACACGCATTTTTATATTTACAATTTTTATGGTATTCATCGGCTATGCAGATTTTTTTTTTCTCTTTTAAAAATTCCTAGTTATATGGGATGGCTCTCTTGGAAGGGAGGAGGAAGGATATAGGGGGGAATTGGTAAAAGCAAAAAAAGATCGATTCAGTTCATCTCAATAAGAAAAAAGGAATAGGAGCTCCTTCACGGTAGGAACTATTTTTGCCTTTCCTCCTAACTCCTAACTTAGCACAGAACCTGGTACACAAAAGGCGCTTAATGAATGCTCGTTGATTGACTGAGGCTCTGAAAGGCCAAGCGACCTGCCTAAAGCCACAGGCATCTGGAAACCCGGACCACGGTCTTCCCACCTCCAAATCCAGCGTGGAAGGAACCAGTCCCATTCTCCCTAGGCGGGATTTCAAGAGTATCCCCTCCCCCCCCAGACCTCAAGGTTGCCTCAGCTCCCTCTCCCCACTACCCCTCCTGGCTCCCCAGGTTCGTTCTCTCCAGCATCCCTCACGGCTCCCTAATGTCTCCTCTCCCCAGTACCCCTCGAGGCTCCCCAATCTAGTGGCCCCCCCTCGGCCCCTCCCCCCGCTTTGTCGGTTCCACTTGTGCAGGTGGAGAGGATCCTTGGGCTGGGGGGAGCCGTTGGGGGCCGTTGTGGACCAGCCGGTGCTTCTGGCGGGAAAGCCTCCTGCTCTCGCCCCTCCACCTCCCCGGCCGAGCCCCCAGAAGCCCCGCCCCACGCATTGTTTTCCTCTCTTCCTCCCTCCGCCCCAAGCCCAGAAGTCGAGCCTAGGCTCGGAGAGGGAGGAGGGCGGGTGCCGGACGCTCCTCGGCCAATCGGCGCCCCCCGGGCTCGGGGCCCCGCCCCACAATCGTAGGGGCAGGCCGCCCGGGAGGGGCAGGGCCGTGGGCGGCCTCGTATCCTCAGTTTAATCCCCTCTTACGTTGGCGGGGCTCACAGGCACGGCGAGCGCCGGCTCCCGTGCCACTGCCCGACGGTATCCTTGCAGCGGTCGACGCGGGTCCCCCAGCAGGGCCCGGCAGTCCAGGAGCCGAGGCTCTCCCCCGGATCGCAGCGCCCACTGACCACAGGACGCCGAAGGAGCCCGGCGCCAGGCTAGCAGACCGCAAGAAGAAGCGGCGAGGCGCCAACCCTCGGAGAAGAAGCCCGCGAACCCCGGCGCCGGGCGCACCTCCCCCGAGGGCTGAGCCATCCGGCCTCGCTGACTTCCTGGGCTCTCCGGACCCCGCGGATCCCTCCTCGGCACTTGGCCCCGAGGGAGCCCCAAGGGGCAGAGATGGTGGCCGAGGGGACCCCCAGCAGTCTCAAGCGGGGCGCGGCGAACAGCGCGGCGGCGGGGCCCGGCGCGGAGCCCCCGGGCTGCGGCGGCGGCAGGGGGCGGCGGGCGCAGCGGGTGCGCTCGTGCCTGCGTGCCAACCTGCTGGTGCTGCTGACCTTGGCCGGGGTGGTGGCCGGAGCGGCCGTGGGTCTGGCCGTGGCGCGCTGGGCGCCGGGCCTGAGCCCGGCGCACCGGGTCGCCTTCTCGTTTCCCGGGGAGCTGCTGCTGCGCCTCCTGCGCCTCATTATCCTGCCGCTCGTGGTGTGCAGCCTGGTGGGCGGCGCCGCCAGCCTGGACCCGGCCTCGCTCGGCCGCATGGGCGGCTGGGCGCTGCTCTTCTTCCTGCTCACCACGCTCCTGGCCTCGGCGCTGGGCGTCGGGCTGGCCTTCGCGCTGCGCCCCGGCGTGGGCACCACGGCTCTGGAGGCGCAGGACGCGCAGCTGCCCCAGACCAAGGAGGTGCTCGACTCCTTCCTGGACCTCTTCAGGTACCCGGCCCGCCGAGGGCTCCACTGCCACGTGGTGCCCGGATGTGGGGTTCCCCCCCCCATCTGTCCACTGGGTGAGCTGGCCGCCTCCTACTCTTCCCCATCGGCTGGAGGTCGGCCGGAGGCAGTGGTCCTCAGTCCGGAGAGTTTGGCCGAGGGGAAGCAAGCGAAATCTAGCCCTCTCCCCCCGCCCCCCTCCCACGCCCAAGAGGCGCCCCCGGCCATCAGCGGAGAATGGATGGTCCAGACTCCCTGCTCCATATCCCAGGCAGCAGCCCGGGCCTCTCTTTGCCCTGTTTCCCGGTCCCAAGCTGGCCAGTGCTCGCCTCCTTTGTACTTTGCTCTTTGGTGGGTGGCCTGGGTCTTTTCTGATGCTTTGCACCTAGTGGGAGCCTTTGGGGAGGCAGGAACTTTTGCCTCTAACCCACTTCCGTGGGGTAAACATGCTACTCTTGACTCGTGACTAGCTCAGCTTCGGAGGACCCCGCCCGACTACATCCCCCCCCCCCCCCCGCTTCCAGCTGAAAAGCCATTCCCGTCTGAGGATCTGGGATTTTGAGTGGACAGCTGTGTCCAGATATGTTCCTTCCTCCACCCCCAGGCTGATGATTCAGTATTTCTGTTTAGGGAAATGGAATGTTTGATTGGAACGATCTGAGGTCATGAGCAATTCACTTAACCTTTCTGTGCCTCAGTTCTGCTGTGAAGTGAAGAGCTCCACCTCGAGGGGTCCCCTTTCTGTCGTGCATCTAGTGGACGGTACCTTATGACTGTCAGCTATTGGCTGAGCCAGGGACCACCAGGGCTAGCAGTGTGTGTGTGTGGAGCTCCCTATCTCCTGATCCCTAGCTGGGAGGAATAGAGGTCTCTCATTGGACCTAAGGGTGCTTCTCAGTGACCACAAGAGGAGGGGGAGGGGGAAGAGAAGGAACGTCTCTCCAACTCTCCATCTGAGAGATGAAGAAACAGTCCCAGTGACTCGTCCACAAGCCATACGCTTGTAAACTGCAGAATTGGGATTTTTGTGTCCCCAGTTCAGTGTGCTCTCTCCTTCGGTGGTTCTCTCTGCCAGGTGGTGCAGCTGATAGAGTGCTGGACCTGGAGGCAGGAAATCCTACCTCAGACACTTCCTAGTTGTGTGACCCTGGGGAAGTCACTTAACCTAATCTTTGCGCAGGTTTCCTTGGCATAGGAATAATGACTGCACTGCTTTGCAGCATTCGTTGCCAGGATCCAATGGGATAATGTTTGTACTTCGTGCTTATCCCCTTTCCTTTCTCTGCTGTTGAACTTTTGGGACTGGGGATGGGCTCTGATTTCTCTGGGGCTCTGTTTGCAGTTGTGTTCACTTTGCACAGTCAGGCGTCAGTGGCAGATTAGGTAGGCCACTTCCTCCCCTTCTCCCTCCCACCATATGGCTGGATGGGGAGATAACCCTTGAGATGGAAGGAAACCTCTTGCAATCCTCTGATAAGCCTTAACCAGTTGAGGAAGAAAAGTGAATTCAGGCAGGGAAGTGAGCCTCTCACCCTGGGGGTTGACATACCTGCCTCCTGGGGCCAGGTGATGCACAGACAGGCCCAATTTCCACACCCACTGGCCATTAGCTAATACCCTTTTTCACTCCATACATACACTCTACTGTCATACAGGCAGAGGATTAATACCTGGACACGTTGACACTTGAACCTGGCAGGGTGAGCACTTTTTTCCCCTCAGGGACTCAGTTACTCAATCCAGCACTCTCTCTCTGTCTCTCTGTCTCCCCCACACCCCTTTTGCTTCTCCAAACAACTCTTGTCCTGACAACACCACAGCCACTCCTGGCAGGAACAAAACTCCCTGGGGTGATCCATGCTTGCAACCTCTTAAGGGCTGTTGGAGTAACCGTGTGTCAGAAAACAGGTGCTTCAGAGAGAGGAGGATGACCCACAGGGTGAAAGGGTGCTTGGTGTCCCCCCCCCACCTGTGTATATGGCCTAACCATCTGTCTCTGAGTGTGTCAGGGGGAGGGGTTGCTTTTTTTCTCCCAGATGTAGCTTGCTTTAGGCCTGTCTCTATTGAGTTATAGAAACACAAGTCTGTGCAAAAGGCATGCTTTAAGTGTTTATGTATACATATATATGTATGTCTTTTGGAAGACATAGACTTGAGGGAAGGGCAGGATATTACCGGGAGCCATGAAAATTAGGTTTGCAGATGACACATTCTCAAGTCCCCAGGGCGTAGCCTTTGCCTACAGCTGAATTGGGGGTTCCACCCTTTCCAGCCAGGTTACAGTTAATCAGCAGCTTACAGGAGGGGCCCTTTTCTCAGGAGGAGCTCTCTGAGGCCCACTGGAGAAGAGGGAGCTGGTAGAAGCCACACAGGGAGCAGCAGAGGGGATTGGAACCCAGCTCCTCTGATTTGCAATCCAGTGTTTCACTCTGTCCAGAAGGACTCCTGTTTGGGCCATGCTAATGAAGCTGGCACCCTGATACCTCCCTCCCCTCCCTTCTCTACCACAGACCCCAAGTCTCTCATGCCCAATAACCACAGGCCCACCTGCCTTGCTGTATAGTGATGCCAGGGTGTTCAGTTTGCCAGCTGGTGGGGAGGCCTCCCCGACCCTGTCTCAGAGAAAGGCCTTCCCTCCCCCTACATTGACCTCCACATCTCTTGGGCTGCAAGGGGCCTCCTGAGGACTGGAAGGGTTTGGGGAAGAGAGCCGAGAACCCTGTTGTCCCAGATTTTCTCCCTTCTCCCCCTCCCCACCTTCCTCCTTTCTCTCCAGGCCTGGCTCCACCATGCAAATATGGATGGGTTCTCCCCTTTTCTTTGCTGCCCCCAGTGCTGAAGCCTGTGCCTCTGAGGATGCCACAGCCTCTAACAGGCCCTGCCCTCCTTCCAGCTTCTACCCCCACAGACAGAGGAAAGGACTTGTTCTCAGCCTTCCCCTGTGGCCTTTCCCACCTCCCTTCCACTGGTGTTAGGGGCTCACAGTCAGCTGGGAAGTGGGGGGGGGCAGGCCTCCTGCCCCCCCCCCCACAGCTGGGCGACTGGGCAGAGACCTCGGGAGGGGTGGAAGAACAGGGGGCCCAGGCTGCACGAGAGGAGAATTTCTCCTTTTGCTTCATCCAGTATTAAACTGTGTCTTGTGTTTTTATAGGAACATCTTTCCTGATAACCTGGTGTCGGCAGCTTTCCGCTCGGTAAGTCTTACTTAAGGGTTGAAGGAATGGGAGGGGAGGAGGGCCTGGAGTGAGCCTCAGGAAATAACCCTCCTTTTTCTCCTAATTCCTTTCACCTTAGTATTCCACTGAGTACAAGCTGAATGAGACCAATATGACCACATGGAAGGTAATCTGGGGGGTGCTGCAGGGGCAGGGTCTCTCCTCTCTCCTCCCTCTTTCTCCTTCCTCCCTCACTTTCCTTTTTCCCTCTCTTCCTTTCTCCTTCCTCCTTCTCCTTCCCTCTCTCTTCTTCCTCCCTCTCTCTCCTTCCTCCCTCTCCTTCCTCCATCCTTTCTCCCTCTCTCCTCCCTCTCTCCTCCCTTCTCTTTCCTCACTTCCTCTCCTCCCTTCTTTCTTCCCTCCCTCTCCTCCCTTCTCTCTCCTTCCTCCCTCTCCTTCCTCCTCTCTCTCCTCCCTCTCTCCTTTCTCTCTCTCTCTCTTTCCTCCCTTCCCCTCTCTTTTCCTCCACCCTACCCTTCGGCTGACTTTCCCAGTTCTTTTCCCAGTTCTTCTCTGCCAGATTACTGACCTTCCCAGTAATTATGAGGTGAGCAGAGCAAGGCAGTTGAGAAAAGGGGCATTTGGAGGGGAGTTAATGGGAAAGAACCATATGACTTCTTTTCTGACTCTTGGAATTATAGTAATGAGGAGCAAAGGCCGAGCATTCATCGGGGGAGGGTGGCGGCAGCAGGGGGCCGTGACCAGCCTGGATCCGGGTTAAGTCACTTCCACAAGCCAGCGTTTCTTAAGGCAGCTCTGTCTGTCTGGCTTGGGGGTGGGGGGGTGGGGCAGATGGGTTTCCAGTCAGTTCTAGCCTATCCCTAAGAGGCCTTGCCGGGCCAGTGCCCCCACAGGCAGGCCCTGTGCATTCTGTCCTGTCTCCAATCCCTCCTCTGACCTCAGCTAGAGTAGTCTCGTGCTTGGATCTGATGCGGCTGCTCTCCATTGCCACACACGTCAAGGGCAGCCTTCCACCTGCGGCACTCCAGGCTCTCTGCAGTCCAGCCTCACTTCACGTTGCCTCCCTCTAGCCAGACTGGACCAGTCTCTGCTCTCGCATCAGGCTCCTTTCTTTGCCTGAACTTTTCCCCAAATGCATCTTCTGCTCCTCTTGGCCCGTTTCCAAGATGGGGATATTAAAACCACCCAGAGGACATGTCTAGCCCAAGCCCTCGCTTTGTGGATAAGGATGTTGGGACTCAGGAAGGGGAACGGTTTGTCCAAGGTCACACAGGTAGTGTGTGAGAGTCCAGAGTGGGATTTCAGCTCATATCTTCTGACTCCAGAGTTGCTGTTCCTTCCACTGAACCCCAGGGAAAATTTCCACCCATCCTTCAAAATGTAACTAGACTATCCCCTCCTCCAGGGAGGCTTCTTAGATATTTTCCCTCCATGGTTCTCCTGTAGAACTTCATTTTCTCTCTCTAGTGGAGTTCTCCTGTGGTGCACACTGGATTGTGGATTCTAAGAGAGACTTGGATTTGCATGTCGCCCTGGACACTTACTAGATCTGTGACCCTGGGCAAGTCACTAAACTTCCCTGAGACTCGGTTTCTTAATCTGTAAAATGAGGATGATAATGACATCTTCCTCATAGGGTTGTTTTGAGGATGCAATGAAGTCGTTTCCATAAAGCACTCTACAACCGTGAGCCGTTATTTAAACTTCGGCCCTCTCTCAACAGTGTTCTACACGCAGTAGGCCCCTAACACAGCTCTTTGTCTTGTCTTGACTTTCCCTGACAAATAAATGTCTCCTCCCTGTCCTAGGAACCCATTGGGAGGGAAGTGGAGGGGATGAACATTCTGGGGCTGGTGGTGTTTGCCATGGTGCTTGGGGTCGCCCTTCGTAAGATGGGAGCAGAAGGGGAGCTGCTCATCCGCTTTTTCAACTCCTTCAACGAGGCCACAATGATCATGGTGTCCTGGATCATGTGGTAGGTACCCAGGGAATGGAGCCTTCTGGAGACACGGATCCTCCCTTGGGGAAGCTGGGTCAGGGGTGGGGAGTGGGGAGTGGGGTGGAGATCTGAGGCGGAGAAGGTGGCCGAGTGGGTGGCCTGAGTCCCCACCCAGGAGAAGGGAGAGGTCAAGGCAGAGGCCTCTTCTCCCTCGCTTCAGGTATGCTCCTGTGGGCATCATGTTCCTGATTGCGGGTAAGATTGTAGAGATGGAAGATGTGGGCCGGCTCTTTGCCAGTCTGGGCAAATACGTCTGCTGCTGCATCCTGGGACATATCATCCATGGGCTGCTGGTGCTGCCTCTCATCTACTTTGTGATCACCCGCAAGAACCCTTACCGCTTCCTGTGGGGGATCGTGCCAGCCTTGGCCACGGCCTTCGGGACCTCCTCCAGGTACTGTGCCTAAGAAGCTGCCCTTAGACCTGGCTTGGACTGTTCCTTCAAAGCCGCCTTTCGAACAGGAAAGGCCTCAGAGACTGGTCTAGCTTCCTGATGCCTCCTAGCTCTTGGCTTACCATGTACTCTGATACCCCAGAACCCCCTCCCTTGAGCCCTGAATCTTCCCATTCAAGTTTCTCCCAGCGTGGTATTTGGCATCTTGCCTGAACTTGAGTGGTTCACATCTTTCCAGGCCTCAAGTCACCTCCTTCCTAAAATGAAGGGATTGGCCTGGACCAATCTCCCTCTAGTGAATCCCCTGAATTGGGGGGGGGGGTAGCTTGGAGTAGATTCAGGTCGGTTGCACTGATCCCGTCCTGCCCTGGTATCCTTTATCACCTCCAGCTCAGCGACGCTTCCGCTGATGATGGAGTGTGTAGAGGAGGAGAAAAATGGCGTCTCCAAACACATCAGCCGTTTCATCCTCCCTATCGGAGCTACGGTGAACATGGATGGCGCTGCCCTCTTCCAGTGTGTGGCTGCCGTCTTCATTGCCCAGTTAAACAACGTGCCCCTCAAATTCATCCAAGTCCTCACGATCCTGTGAGCGGGGGCAGGGTGGGGGGGGATGGGGAGGCTGGGTGCCCAGCAGGAGGTGGGGTGGAGGATGGCTGAGGGCATGAGGGCACAGGGGCAGGGGATCAAGGCAAAGAGAATCTGGCACGTAGAGCCAATGTGGATCAGGACAAACCAAGCTACATTGGAATGATTCAGAATGGGGGCAGGAGAGGCAAGGGAGACCCTGGAGGCTCATGATGGGTGGGATGGGGGCATTGACCTGGGACAGGTTGGTGTGGGGGGCTCCCCCTGACCTATGAACTCATCCCTTTGGCAGCATCACTGCCACGGCCTCAAGTGTGGGTGCAGCCGGCATCCCGGCAGGGGGTGTGCTGACCCTGGCCATCATTCTGGAAGCCATCAGTTTGCCCACCAAAGATATCTCCTTCATCCTGGCTGTGGACTGGCTAGTGTGAGTACTCTGGGCTCCTCTTTCTCCAACCCCCACACTCTCAGGATGAGAGTACTATTATATGGTCAGGGCAGGCGTTCCTGCCTTGGTGGGAATGAGCCATGGGGGGGGCCAACCCAGCCTCCAGCTGGCTCTCATCCCTCTTCCTCTTTCCTCTCCCCTCCACCCTGTTCCCAGGGACCGCTTCTGCACCATCATCAACGTGGAAGGGGATGCCTTCGGAGCTGGCCTGCTTCAGTGCTACGCGGACCACAATGAGGCAGGCCTGGGGAGTCTGGGACCTGAGCTGGCAAAGGTCAAAGATGATGCCTCTGTGGTCCCCCTGTCCCCTGAGGCCGACCCCCTCATTGTCAAGACGGTCAAGTTTGGTGGCCCTGCTGGGGATGCAAACACCTGTGAGAAGGAGTCGGTCATGTAGAGCCCCCATCTCTACCCCAAGAGGGGACTCCAGGAAGATGCAAGATGATACTTTTTGGAAGGGGGTGCCTTCCCCACACTCCAGCGGCACAGATGCATTAGCCCTCCTTTTCTGGGCTACGTAAACAGCTTGCTGCTGGGGAGGGTCAGTTCAAACCCATGGCCTATCTCCCCCAATCTTGGGGTGGGGGGGTGGGGAATGTCCCCTTGGGGACCCTGACTGGTTGTGTTCTGAAGGTAGCTTCTAGGGTCCAGAGGAAGGGCTAGACTGACAGATGGGCACTCACTTCTAGCTAACTTTTTGCTGCCTGGGGACCCCAAGTCGGACAGTTGGGCTCCCCTTACTGACCAAAGTTCTTATGTCTGCTCCCACCTACCTCCACACCCTTTTCAGGCAGAGTGTGTATGTTCTCCTCTGTGCCCCGTCCTCAGGACGCTCTTCTGGCGCCTGGTCTTGGGCCGTCAGAGCCAGAGTGACAGCAGCATCTGAGAGCTGGGAGGAAGGGGGCAGAACCCTGGCCCCCAGCCTATTCCCTAGCTAGGTTGGGGAGGGGTGTGATCCAAGGCAATAAATGTGCGTCTAACCATTGCGAGGCTTGTGTGCTATCTTGGGGACACCTGTCAGGGCAGAGCCCTCTGGAGCTGGAGGGGAGGAAAGAGGGAAGAAGAGCAAGGCCTGGGCATGGGGTGGTAGGGAGTACCCTTCTGAGGCCTTGAGCTGACCTCCGAGGTCACAGGAGTTGGGGAAGAGTGCCACCTAGTGGCCGATGGGATCTGTGAAGCACACAGCACGCGGTCTGGGCCAGCCCAGTGGCAGGGGGTCTTTTATTGCTCCCCTTGCTGAGTCCCCCTCCCCATGACCCCCCCACTGTTCCTGGCCAGCCTCGAGATCTTCTCCATGCAGGACAGAGAGCCGGTCGGGCACAGAGCAGCCGCCGGCTCCCCCCAGCATCACCCGCTGCCCGCCAGGCTCTTGAGGGCTGGGTTGGGGTACTCTGGGTTCTCGATGGCGCCAGGCCCGAACTTGAGCTCCAAGAAGCGGCGGTAGTTGTTGGGGGCCTGGGCCAAGAAGCCCGCGAACTGAAGTGGCACCAGCGGGTGGAGGAAGTGCTCGGGGAACTCCACGTCCTGGCGGTGGTCGAGCCACGTGTCCTTGGTCATGACGCCGTTCCGGGGGTAGAAGGGCCACAGGTCCACGTGGAGGTGGTTGGTCTCGCTGTACTGGACCCGGAAGAAGTCTCCCTCCACGGCTTTCTCCCACACGAACCCTCTCTCGTCCACCACCGAGCCGACCTCCGCCCCCCGCAGCTGCTCGCAGTTGGCCACGTCCTCGAGGTAGATGCCCAGGTCAACGTCATAGTCCCAAGGGATGATGTCGCCGTGCCGCACCGCTCCCAGCAGGCTTCCCCCTTCCAGCCAGTAGCGGACCCGGGCGGCCTCGAGGACGCCGATGACGTGCCGGGCGGTCTCGCGGAGGGCCTGCAGGCAGCAGGGGGGCGTCCAGCGGCCCTCGTAGAGGTAGGAAGGAGTGTCGCCTACCACCGTGTCAAAGCACCTGGCCGTCTCCTTGCCACAGCCGAACCACTCCTGCCTCCCGCCCTCCCAGCTGACCAGCCGCATGCCCAGCGTCCGCAGGAGTGCGTCACGCCGGGCGCGGCCTTCCTTCTCGGCCTTCCAGCGGGCGTGGGCCGTGGCCAAGGGAGGCTGCCGGGCAGGGGCGAAGGGCAGGTCTAGGAGGCGCACGGACCAGCCTCGAACCGAGGTCTGAAGGAAGAGGCTAGTGCTCATGGGTCGGGCAAGGGGTATGGAGAGGTTAAAGAGATCCCGCGTCCTGACCACCACCACGACCTCTCCGTCCAGGGCATCGCAGAAGGGAGGGTCTGGGGCTGGTCCGTAGCTGGCTGTCCACTCCCGCAGATTCACCTCCAGCGCCAGGCAATGGGGGGGGTTTGCTGTTGCCACGGGTGCAGCCACCAGCCGGGCATGGGTGTTTTTCAGTTCCTCTGCCATGCGCTGGAGCTGCCCGGGGGACTCTGCCCTCGTCCCATCAGGCACCAAGGCCACAAACTCCGTGTCCACATAAGTTTCTGCCTGGGAAGCGGCAGCCGGCCGATCCAGGGAAGGCTGAAGCAGGGCCAGCCTGACGTTGGGAACTGCAGGAAGAGCTAGGGGCGGGTAGGGAAGGGTGTCGGCGGCCACAACAATGGGCTGGCTGGGGTCATGGTGCAGGAAGGAGGCCACCACCTCGGGCACAGCGTTGTCAAAGGCTTCAAATTCCCGGATGAGTACAGTGACCCGAGAGTCTGGGGCCGAGTGTGGAAGGCGGGGGGGCCGCACTGCCCGGCCCCCCCGCCGGCGCTGCTGCTGCAGCCGCGACACGTAGAAGAAGACAAGGAGGTTGAGGGTGATAGCGGCCGCCAGCGCGACCTGGCATCGGGTAAGACGCATCTGGCTTTTGGAAGTGGGGCTGGCCCCGGGATCCTGGTAGCCTGTGTGGGTTTGGGAGGCGGGGAAAGGCAGGGAGGCATTGAGGCTCATACCCCCAAGACATCCCATAATGCACAGCCCCCCTCCCACTGACCTCCACCCTTCCACTTCCCTTCTTGAAGAGAGAAGGGGCCTAACATGGAGAGCTGGAAGGACCTTGAAGCTCACCTAGTCCAAACCCCTCATTTTACAGAGGAGGAAACTGAGGCTGCAGAGGGTGATTATGATTAGTAGATGGTGCCTTCAAATTCTTCTGTTCCCACTATACGCACTCCCTCTTCCACTCGACACTTCTTTCTGTCCCTGGTGGTAAACAGCTCAAGCAGCTTCTGCTGAACCGACTGAAGGCCTTGTCTCTTGGAGAGGAGGAATCCTTCTCTTGGCCCCCTCCTGCCCCCCGGGCTCAGCCTGGACCATCACAGAGCAGAGGACCCAGGAACTATCTCATACCATCTCACACCTGGACTATCACACACATAGGAAACCTGCTTCTTTCTGTCTCTACTCTGCCTTCAAACAGATCTGCTTTGAGTCCCACACATGCTAGGATGTCAGTTTGCCTATCTGTGGGATACAGGGGCAAGCCTGACCCTCCACCCAGACCGACTGCTGCCCCCTTTCTCTCTCCCCACTCTGGAAGAGCCCCAGGCTCCCCTCAAGGAAGCTGTGGGGCCCACATCTCCCACCCTCCCTGGCCTTAGGCTCTGGGGCTAAGGCCCCTAGGGTCCAAGAGGATGACTCAGTGCTCACCCTAAGCCCTAGGGGCAGGGACCAGTTCTGAGAAAGCAATGAAAGGAACCAGTCAGCAGAAAGAGTCCAAGGCCTGGATGATGTGGAGTAAGCCTCAAGTTTCCATGTAAGGCTGCTGAAAGGAAATGGCTTAGCTCAGAAGTGTTCTGTAACCCTTGAAACATCATGGAAACTTGAGTTGCTGTCCCATTAGACTCTTGTCTCACTGGAACTGGATTCAGGTGGGCAGGAGGTACTCAATAAATACTTGGACCTAAAGGAAGGTCTGTATCATTGCTGGCAACCTGGGCTCCCCTCTACTCCATCCTTTCCCTGTCCAAGACCAGACTGGTTCTAACAGGCTAAGCTAGCTCAAGGAACCTTTCCACTTCCTGTCTGTCTTCTCCACAGCACCCCAGCCCGCCCCCCCAAAACCTAAGCAAACCAAACATCCTCCTTTCCAGACCTTGAGTTCTACCAAACATGGCTAGTCATAGGACATAGGCATTTAAAAGCCTCATAGAAGGATGCAGCTCGCTGACTATGGAGCCCGAGTTCAAATCTTCCCAATAACCTCTAGTACTTCTCTGGCCTCAGGCTCCTCAGCTGTAAAAGGAAGGAAGCTGGGTTTGGAGGTCCCCTCTGGCCCTAATGACAGCATCCTATGATCACTGAGTCCAACTCTGTCACTTTACTGATGAGGAGACTGAGGCACAGGAAAGGAAGGATTCTGGGTAAAGTTGTAAGAGCAGTGGGCAGCAGCCTCCCTTCTGTGAACAGTCTACAGATCACAAAGGTTTGCCCCCATTGGAAGCAAGGCCCTGGGCTGGGTGCAGAGAGAAGGGGTGGAGGGGCAGGAGGAACCCCGAGAAGGGTAAGGTATAGTCCTGATCCTCTCTGGAAGTTTAGTCTAGGAGGGAGACAAGACAGACACATAACTACTATACCAGTATACTGATGGAGCGAGGAGGGATATCAGATGTCATCTCCAAGGCCCTGGTTGCAATCCTAGCTCTGACCCTGACTTCCTGTGTGCCCTTATGAAAAGTCCCTTCCTTTCTCTGGGCCTCAGTTTCCCCATCTGTGAACAGGATGTTCTGGTTCTCCGCTGGTCTAGGATTCTGAGAAATGAGTGTGGGCATCTGGGTGGAAGGGGAGTGACCCCACCCTAGGTCCCACTCCATCCCAGTTTCTATTCTAGCCCAGTAGGCAATCTCAAAGCCCCCCAAGGTAGGGGGCCCTAGAGCTTACCTTTTTAGCAGAGAGGTGTATAGAAATCCCCAAGGCTGATTGCTTTTCCTGCTGAGGGGTTAGGGAGGGAAAAAAGGTTGAATTAGATTCAGCTTTGGGACCCCTTTCAGGGGACTGGCATCTCACCAAATAGCATAGCTGCACAGCTCTGACACCTCCCCCTCCTCAGGTTTAAATGGTATACCCCAGTGAAAGGTAGAGCTGTCTTGAAAGGGGCAGGGCTGCTTGTCTGCCTTTCTCAAGGAGGGACAGTAAATGGGGGAGGGGAATGAGTTGGCCTCTCCTTAAAAGGGGTGGAGTAACCACTGGCACCTTGGAACTCCTTCCCCTTGCATCTGTCTAGATTTAGGAGAGGGGTGAGTGAAAAAGAAGCAGCCTGATGTCCAGTAACCATAGCAACCTGCCTCCCTCCTCCCAACAGCAAACCCATAAGCTCTCCTCAAGCACAGCATCCCATCCCCGGGTGGGTCTGGACACCTTACAAGAGACTGAGAAGAAAGGCCTGTTACCACAGCAACCATTCTTCCCAATTAGGACCCCGTCCCCCAATCTTCTCCCCAGCTTGTTACCTGTGGGGGGGGGCGTTGGGGGGAGGGGAAACATCATGGCAATCACCCTTTCTTTCTCTGGGCATTTGCTCACCGGGGTCAAGGTGCTGTACTGGGCCTGGATACCATAGCAACCTGCATAGTTGGGGATGGACTGAGCGGAAGATGTCTGGGCAGGGGCAAGATTAAGGTGACCATAGAAACATCTCTATGGTAGTTGCCATGGCAACTGGCCTATGGGAATTGGGGGGAAGGGACTAGGGGACAAAATCAAGGGTTACTCTAGCCACTGATCCTGGCTCAGGGAATCCTAAAATTCTGGGGGCAGGGGAAGGGGGGGGGTAAAAGGGTTTGAAGCAGGTGAGTGTTGCCATGGCAACCAAACAGGCCGGGTAGAGGGGGTGGGAGAGGAGACTCACTGAGGCCAGCAGGATTGCTATGGCAACCCATAGGGAGGGGAAGGGGGGGAGAAGAAATCCAGGCTTGGCAGTTTGGACTACCCAGGGTGGGCAGGATGGAGGTGTGGTGTGCGGGTCGTCGTTGCTATAGGAACCGTACAGGGACGGGGAGGAAGGGGTCTAAGGAGGGGCTAGAATGGGAGGGGGACACGGAGAGGTGGGCCAGTTGCTGTAGCAACCGGCGGGCTAGGGCGTGTCTTGGAGTTGAGGTTGGGAGGGGAAGGCTGCAGAATGGCCGGCCAGTTGCTATAGTAACTGGTGCGAGGGGCGGAGCCGGGAGCCCGAGTCCGGCTGGGGTTGCTGGGTAGGACGGAGAGGGGAGGGGTGTCAAAGGGCTTAGGGCCCAGGGCGGCCTTTTCGGCGCGCGGCCGCCTGCTCCGCGCGCCTCCTCCGGGGGCTGAAAGCGCGCGTGCGCGGGCTGGCGCGCGGCGACCGCGGCGCCAGGCTCCTCCCCTCCCCCTCCCATCCCCGCGGGCCCGAGCGCGCGTGCGCGCGGGCAACTGCCGTCCGCGAGGGAGGCGCGCGGGGCAGGCGGCGGCCCGCGAGGGCGCGCGCGCGCTCCAGCCGCCGGCCTCCATGATGGAGGAGCGAGCGGCCCCCGCCGCCGCCGCCGCAGCCGCAGCCGCCGCCGCCGCCGCCGCCGCCGCAGCCGCCGCCGCGACCGCCCCCGCCTGCCGCCCGCCGGCCCCCAGCCCCGCCAAGGGCGGCGGCGGCGGCGGCGGCGGGGGCGGGGCCGGCGGGGGCAGCCCCGGGTCGGGCCCCGAGCCGCTGAGCCTGCCCGGCATCCTGCACTTCATCCAGCACGAGTGGGCGCGCTTCGAGGCGGAGAAGGCGCGCTGGGAGGCCGAGCGGGCCGAGCTGCAGGTGAGCCGCCGCCGCCGCCGCCGCCGCCGCCCCCGCCGCCCCCCCCCCGGCCCGCACCGCCGCCGCCCCCGCCGCGCGAGGACCCGCCCCCGGCCCGCCCCCCGCCGCTGCCCCGGGCCGCGGGCCCCTCACCCGCCGCCGCCGCCGCCGCCGCCGCCATCTTGGACAGCAATGGCCGCCGCCTCCCTCCCCCCGCGGGAGGGAGCGGGGAGGGGAGGGGGGAGAGCGGGGAACGACCCCCCCGGCCCGTTTGCCGGGGAGGGCACGGCGAGGGAGAAGACGACCCCCCCAACCTAGGCTCCTGCGGGGGAGGAGAGGGGAGGGGGACAAAGAGAAGACACGTCCCCCAACCCAGGATCCTGCCCCTGCCGGGGGAGGGGGTCAGCGAGAAGACACCCCCCCCTGCAAAAAGAGGAGAAGGGATAGAGAGAAGAAGGGACAGCACACCCCTTTTCTTCCCACGTGTCTGCCCCGATAAATCGCTTGGGGCAAGAAGTGAGATCCTGGAGGGGGCGGGTGCGCCTCCAGAATGGGCAGGAGCCCCAGAGCTCAGAGACAGACTCTGGGAAGGTGGAACCCCTTAGGGGGAAGGGAAGAGACTCCTGCCCAGTGAGAGGGGCTGGGGCACATGGAAGGGGAGAAAGGTGGACCCTTGGGGGGGCGGGGTGAAGCCTGAGAAGGAGACAAAGGGTAGTGGGAATGAAGAGTTTCCTCTTCAATGATGACTGTTAAAAGTGACCCCTGCCCCCACCCCCATAAAGGATGTTTTAGGGGACTTGGAGAGGAAATAACACCCAAATGGGAGGAAGAGATACTCCAGGAATGAGGAGGAGTTGGGAGGGCTGGAGTAGGAGGATGAGTTTTAGATGTGGATAAGGAAAAATTCTATATAAGGAATAGAAGGCCCCCAACCCCAAACTGGGCAAGTGGCATCCAGAGTGTGCTTCCAGTGTGCCTCTGCAAGTGTCCATAGCACCTTTTAGGTGGCTCTGATTGTCAGGACAGTTCTTACATCAAGCCTAAATTCACTTCTTGGCAGCTACCTCCCCCCCACCAAGGTCTGATTCCTAGGGGATCAAAGGGAGCAGAGTCCCTCTTTGTGAAGATCACACTCGTGAGCCTTCGAAGACGATCCCTAGTTCTTTCAACAGCTCTCCTGGTGGCATGCATTGAAGATCCAGTTTACCAGTGTAGCCATGTCCTCCATAAAGTGGGGTCTTCTTTCAGAACTGGAAGAGAGAATCCCCAGAATAGGAAAGTGAGAAGAACTGGAGGAGGCATTGGTTGATCTAGGACCCCTGGAATAAGGGAAAATGTGGTGCCCGGGATGGAGTGTCAGGGAGGGCTGAGGGCAGAGATGGCCTGGGAATGAGGGAAATTGGGATCACAGCCCCCCAGAATGAGATTCAGAGGGCTAAATTTGGGGAAGGTTGGCTTGGGGAGTGGACACAGGGAGAACGAGGGTGGGACCCCAAGCAGAGATTTGGAGGACTGTGACCTCAGTAATAGCAGCCTGTTGTCGTAGATCGTTGGCCACCTGGTATGGGGGAAGAGTGTCGGATCTGGGTTCAGGTTGGGGCTCTGGACAGATCGCTTCAGCCCCTCAGACCTCAGTTGCCTTATCTTTAAATGAGAGAGTTGAACTAGAGTCTCTGAGGTCCCTTCCGGCACTGCAGCTATGAGCTTATGTCTCTGATGGGAATGTGAGAATTAGAGACTTGGGGGGAAAGAGTGGAGCCTCCGGATATGGGGCCCTCCCCCAGCACGTGGATAAGAAGGTGTTTGTCCTGGGAGCACTTGGGTGCCCGCTTCCTGTCAGGCTCTGGGCCACTTATAGGGATGGGAAGACAGAGATGAAGTAGCCCCTGCCTTTAATGAGCTTATATTTTAGGGGGAGGCAATGTGGGCACAGGAAGCCCCGAAGAATGGGGTAGCAGGGGGGAAACTGTTGGTGGCACAGCAGAATCCAGATCAGGTCTCTGATACTCACTGGCTTTGTGGCCCTGGGCCAGTCATTTCATTGAGCTCTGCCTCAGTGGCCTCATCTATAAAATGGGACTAATAGTCCCCGCGCGCCCCCCCCAGTTGTTGGGGGGATCACATGAGATCGTATATGTGAAGTGCTTTGTCAGCCTGAGAGAGCCATAGATATGCTGCTGCTTAGTATTGAAGCCCCAACAATTGTGTAGACAGTTGAATCATTTTAGGTGGACTTTTTTTCCCCAGAGAAAAATGTTCCATCTGCTTTATGTAGAGGCTCTTGAGCAGAATTCACTTTTCTGTGACTATTCAACTTGTATTCATGTTGTACAGTTGGTGTACTTGGGGCTATTTCGCCCGTGCCCTGGGTCTGCTGTTGAGGGGCTGCATTGGGTCTTTGCTGTTGCCTCCTGTGAGGTGCCTGCCTGGAACAGCTTCTCTCCGCCCCTTTTCATCTGCTCTCGGTTGGGAAGCCAGCTGGGCCACCAAGCTTACAAAGGCCCCTCTGCGCGTGCCACCTCCCCTCCCCCCCCTTTGCTGGGTGGTCTGGTCGCAGAGTGCTCTGTGTCCATTCACTCCAAGATTCCCTGGGCACAGGGAGGCCAGGGCAGAGCTGGGGCCGGAGCCTGGCACTGAAGGGCAGCTGAGGGAGGATGAGGAGGTGGGAAGAATGGGTCAGAGCAAGAGATGCTTGGGAGTCTCATTCACTGACGATTATGTGCCCACTAGGTACCTAGCGAGAGGCCCCCACTTCTCAGGCCACTGACATTTGTGTGGGGCCTTGGGCAGTCCTCAGCATTCTTGTAGGGTGGCGAAGACCTTGTTATCTAGTTGTTGTAGATGAGGAAACTGAGGCTGAGGTGTCAGGTGATTTCCTGCAGGTCATATAGGAACAGGGCTGGAAATCCCAGCCAGGCTTCTTCCTGCAAGTGGTTGTCACTGGGGAGCCTGCCCCAAGGCCCCATTTTGTAGCTGAAATCACTGCCAGTCAGTCCTTCCACAGGAGTTCCCTGAGCTCTTTCTTATTGATGGTCTGTGCTGGCCACTGCTTTGGGCCAAGGAGAGAAGAAAGACCTTTCTTCAGGTTTAGAAAGTACTTTAGATGCCTGCTCTTGGCTGTTTGATGGTCACAGCAGCTCCTGGGGGAAGCTCTCTAGAGATACTGTATACGTTTGTGTGTGTACGCACACACACATACACACACACATGTATTTCCTGGGGCCTGGGTCACTTGTGATTCCAGTGATACTCCTGGTATTGTGTGCACTTTACAGAGGGGGAGGTTGAAGTCCAGATGGGTGCAGTGGCTTCTCCAGGAATGCCCACCCAGGTGTGTCCTGCCTCCAAGCCCAGGCTTGGAGGAGATGAGAAGATGGCAGGGTTGCTGGATGATCTTGGACAAGTTCCTTGCCCCTTTTGAGGCTCAGTTTCCTCTGTAAAAGGTCAAACCAGCTGGTCTCTAGGAGCCCTAAGAACACAGGGCCAGGGAACACACCTGGTCTTTCATTGGGACAGGGAGCTCCTGGAGGAGAAGACTGCCAGTGCCCTCCCCTCCTTGGCAATTTATAATCTGAGAGGGTTGATGGAGAGCAGGAGGGGGCATGACTTGCCTAGGTCAGAGGGTCTGACATGTCAGAGGCAGAATATGAACCCAGGGCTTTCTCTGTGTGAGGCCATTCTGCCTGTCACCTGGATTCTTCTAGTTCTCAGAGGCATAATCCCATGAGGGTTGGGCTGTGGGGCACAGGAATGGTGTGGGCTTTCCTCATGGGCCTCGGACCAATGTTAGCTAGAGCCTCTGGGTCTCCAAGGAGAGGGAGTTGTGTTGGCATTCAAAAGACAAAGTGATGGGGCAGGAGCCCTGAATTAGGGAGTCCAAGGACTTGTGTTCAAATCCCCAATCTAGCACTCACTAGTTTTGTGACCAGGAGCATTCAGTTAATCTCCAGGTGTATTTCTTCCTACTAAATGGAGATCAATGAATAAACAAACATTAAGCACCTACTACGTGCCAGGCGCTAGGGCTCCAAAGGGGGGAAAAAAATGAAAGTGCTGCCCTCAAGGAGAGACAGCACGCACATGTATAAGTGTATCTGAAATACCTGCAGGATAAATACCCGGTCGTTTTTGGAGGAGAGGGTTCATGGGGAAGGGTTGGTGGAGCTGCATTTTGAAGGAGAAAAGATTCTGAGAGTCAGAAGGAAAGAGGGAGGGAAGGAGGCTGTTCCAGGTGCTGGGGAGGCCTGTGGGATGAGGAGGGTGGCAGTGGGGTGACCGTGTTTTGTTGTGGATGAAGACAGCAAGGGCTCCATTCACCTGGCTCCTGAGAAGAGCAGGTCTTGCTCAGTCACTAACCGGCTGGTTGTCTCTCAGACAGGAAGGAGGGAGATGAACAGCAGGAAGAGAAGTGGGAGAGATTTCTCGGCTCCGATTGGGTGGGTGGGAGTGTGGGTAAGAGTTCTGGAAAACTGGGTCCGTGCAGAGAGAGGGTGTGAGTGCGCGTGTGTGCACCGTGTATGGGAGAGGCAGCGCTGAGTG